TATAATCTCCTGCCATTTCTTCTTCCACCAATGGACATGTGTGTTGTTTCAGGCAGAAATGGTAGTTCTTCACAATAGTGCTGACCCTGATTGTCCCAGCACAGGTTTTGGTCCAACATGACAGAGGTGTGAGGGGGACACAAAGCAGCCCCCAACCTTTTGGGCACCAGGGACCNCCTCTGTATGTCCATTTTAGCAAAGGGGGTGGAATTTAGGTAAGCCAAAAATGCTATATTCAGTATATAAGACTCACACACATTTTCACCCTCTTTTTTGAGGGAAAAAGGTGCGTCTTATACTCTGAAAAATATAGTAGATGTGGAAAAAAAGAGGTATGACAGATATCTGTGGGTGGTGGGTTGGACATGCCTGCTCTATGTCATGAGTGGGAAGTATTAAAAATGAATTACTCATGGATATTCATTATCTGTTGGTAATGGATATTAACACATTTATTTGATATAATCCAATTTTCAATAGAGCATTGCTTTTGAAATTTTTCATTTTATAAAACTGCAGAAAATGTTTAGGAAAACCATTGCCAGGTTAGCTTGCAGCACAAATTTTCAGCCAAGTTACATTTATTTAATAATAATCTCACCAATTTTTAAATCTCTAGCTGTAAAATGTTATTTGGGTTGCAAATGTATATATACATATAGTTTCAATGTGGATTATCATTTAGATCTTTCATTTAGTATGACTTGAAAATATATAGATTGTACTTACTACCGCACCACCTATTTCAGTAAGCTTGTGAAAATATCCATATACTTTTTATGCAGCCTTTACTAATTTTATATGCAGAAAGACAAAAAGCTAATGGTTTAAAATGACCAGGTTCAAAACTGCTGAACAGATTTTTCTGAGCAGAGACTCATGAACAGCTGTCAGTGGCAAATAATTAGTCAAGTTTATTTTATACTCCAAGAGAGAACGTCACCTGACTCATTTCGATTAATGCATTGTGCAAAGTGTTACTCATTTCCAATGAGAACAAGAGATGTGATATTTAACTTATCAGTTAGTGAATAATGAGAAATGAAGGTCTTTTGTTACCCATGCTAACAAAATACTTTACTCCTCATCTAAAAAGCAATGTTTTTTAAATCTTCAAAAAAACATATTTTCCTCTTTCTGTTTAGTATGGTTTTAGACCTTTCCCCCCATATTTTCATATAATTAATATAATAAATCTCAAGCACATGACGGACTTGTATTTCGTGACAAAATAGTTTACTCTGTGCTATATTGCAGAAAGCATTTTTACTAAACTCTACATTGAATAGAACCCTAAAGCCAGAATCTGTAGGAATTATCGGAGAAGTGCTATAAATTTGAGCAAAGAAGCAAAAACCTAAATATAGATGCAGCCTCAGTGTAACCCATATGTTTTAACAAATATGGTTGTAATTATTAGTTTGAGTCAATACCAAGATGTAATGTTTTTGCTTTGTTTGCATTTATGTACCAACAATATCTAGATATAGTTTTTATCACTAATCTATGTAATTAGCACTGGGAATGCTGTTTTTAATCCATAATTAAAGATATTAAAGACTTATTAATAGTTTCTTCATAATTATACAAAATTACTTGAAAATGTTATACGAAAACTAAATCAGCAACATATTTGCAAGATAGATAAATCCTAATAATAGCTCTGCTTAAATAAAGGAATCCTTTTTCTATACAATACAATAGCAGAGTTGGAATGGACCTTGGAGATCTTCTAGTCCAACCCCCTGCCTAGGCAGG